CAGTAATTTAGGTCAGTATCGGACCGATACCGATACGTAATATCGGATCGGTCCATCTCTAATATTAAACGACATAGACTGTTTGATTTGCGAGCTTTTTATTTGAGTTTTTAGGACTTCTGCTAGTGTGTAGATCTGGACATCTGCTCTGATATATATATTCAGCTTGCATTTAAGTTTCAGGTTGTCAGAGCACCATGATGTGTTTGTGGTAGTCCATCTGTGTGAGCTTGTGTGGAAGCTTCAGGGGTGACTCGTGTCTTGTCTAGCGTCACACACGCACAATCATTCTGATCAAACTTGAGTTTTGGGGTTAATGCACACTACAGGAACCGGGAAGTGAACCACAGACCTTCCGACAACCTGCTCTACCCCCTGAGCCCCACAAAAAGAAATCATGGTAAAATGATCAGGTACAAGTACTAGTCTGAAAACTAGTAGAAAAAATAGCCATTGTCCAAACAAAACTTTGAAAGTCCTTAAAAAAGCCTTGAGAACTTGTGCTCAACACCACCTTCAAAGAAAATTAGAAGAAAGTCTGGCTCCTTGAAAGCAAAATATAAAGAAATGAGGAGTTCAGCAAGAAATAACAAAAGGTTTGTACCAAAAAATTGCAATTGAACTTGGAAGTCAGTATTTCAGAGTTTCCAGATGGAATTCTTAACTGGAAAGCCCCCTCAAGTTGGAAGTCAAACTTGAAAAGTCAGAGCAGTCCCACCAGTCCTGACTTAGCAATGCTTAACAATCCAATATGGCGGCTGCTCATGTAAACGATAGTAAAACTGTAAAACTTGTAGTCTGTGCTGCCTTTGTTGTCTATCTATCACTGGCTAAATAAACCACACACAGAGCATTGAGCAGGCTCTGTCTGTCAGCATGCTGCAGTGGTGCAAAAAAATAAGCACTGTGCTCTATTGCTAGTCATGCATGAATGTCTCTAACTTGATAAGGAGCAAAAGAAATCCAATTTTCGCCTTGCTTTTATCGACTTTACGGCTGGAATATGCTCAACTTGGGAGTGATATCACTCCCACCTCTGACTTCTGAGATAAACGAACACAGGAATACTGGAAAGCAGATGCACCCCAGGAGAAGGGGGTGGGGGGTACTCCTAGAACCTATTAGCTGGGTGGGGGTGGCATTTTTAAGTGGCCTTATTTGTACATGACTACCCTTCTTGTGCACTGAGAGCAGTGTATTAGCTTATGTAATTTTATTTATTATTTTTTGACCACAACTCTGTCTGCTGTTCTTATATAAAGGCAAGGACCTGCAGGGCAGCAAACTTGGTCTCAGGTGGTGACAAGATGTTAACCTTGCCCTTCCCTGCCTTCCTCTTTTCCCCTCTGACCTTCTTTTTTGTCACCCACCTTTTCCCTTTCTATTATCTCTAGTATTGCCTGTAAGCATTTTCTGTGTTCCTGCACTTGCTAGGTAAATAGTTAGAAAAGAGTGCCTGCTCAAAAAGAGCTCTTGCAAAATAATGCATTAGCCATGCTGTAGTTCCGTTAAAATGAATGGCATGAGTGGAATCTGAGCAACGGATCCTTGTGCCAACATATTGATAGCTTTTGGACTGGATGTTGGGTGGGAATTCATTACACAAGCAGGACAGCATTCCAGGATTGTACTGGAGCCCACTGAAAGGGAGGGAAACACATGCAGAGGATTTATATTTTATTTAGACTTGTTAAAACTCAGTGAATTAGACAAGAACAGTTTAAGAATGGAAAGATTATAGATAGCTTAAAAAAGAAAATACATTGTTATTAATATAATATAAAAAATATGCAGGTTTTGAAATGTGCTGCATAATGGGACTCTAAATATAGTATATAAAAATTAGGAAGGACTTATTGTTCCCATTGTGTTAATTTTCTTATTCTCTTATGTACTGCTGAGGCTCATTTATTCTTTGCCTTTTTTTGGCACATGATTTGACATTTACACATACCATGTGCCAGCTCTTAATTTTCTCAGTGTGTTCAGTTTCCAGCCTATGTTTATGTGCATCTCTTTGTGCTTTGTTGCGTGTCCTTGCTGGTTCCATCTTTTGTTCTCTAACCCTATCTGTACTTGGTGTTCATCCACATTAACTGAAAGCGGGGTATTGACGGAAGGAGAAATTATAGTTAGAAATTTACCCTGTTACTTTCACAATGAGGTCCAATGAATTTCCTCCATATGAGGGTTGGTTAGCACTCCACAAGGGCCCAATAAACTCATCATATTTTGCATTAGTTCCATAAATTATAGTGAGTAGAATCCAATCACTGATGGAGTTAACTACGTTTGGAAAACAAATAATTGGGTTTAGCAGCACTCAGGTTCACTGGCAGATGATTTTAATCAGGAGGATGTTACGAAAGGCAACGTGACGTATACTGGCAGACAACGAGTTGTTGTTACAGCGCGTCACAGAAACAGAGTCACCGTATTATAGCGTGACATGTTTTTATTGTATTTTTCATTTCATATAGTAAGTAAAAGACCTTATGGTAAATAATCTATTTCAGTTTAAATAGTGAAATAGTGGTTTTAGCATTTTTTTTCAAAGACTATTTATCTTGATAACAGTAATGTGGACATCAGATCACAACAAGGGATAACATAAGTTATAAGTATTTGTTTATTTTAGATCGCAAGAAACTATTTAATATTGCAACAATAAATTGGAATGCAGCACAAGCAGATACGTTGACTAAATGGGTTATAAGTAGCAGTTTATTATGTTGTTGTGAATGGAATTTGGAGGAAAGGTCGTAAAGAGAAATAGGCATAACTTTGCTTGCGTTAGCATTTTTAGCCGTGTACATGTGCCAACAAAGTGGCTGCCCAGCATATATGACTAGTGCATGCATGGTTCATAATGGTGTTACTGGATTGTATTTAAGCATGTTTCAGTCTCATTTGCCTAGGCTAGGTGGGCAAAATAGTTGAAAGTTAGCTCCAAGCAAAAGGGCACACTTTGTGTGACACAATTATGTGTGCAGTGTAGACTCAAAGTGATCCTCAGACCTGCCGCACCAGCCTCCTGTAACTACCTGTCTGCCTGAATGTGTCTGCTTGACC